CCCGTGCGGCCAATGTACGTTGAATTACAAGCGCACCGGAAAGAGTGTATACCCATTGCATTGGTCAGTGTGGGCAGCCTATCTATCGGATGATGTGTGAGCCTGTGTGAACGCACTCGATAATCGAGCTGCGGTTTAGACCCGCTTCGCTGCACGCGTCAGACGTTTCTACAAGGGGTCCAATAGAGCATCTCCTTGAAAATGTAGATGGATGGATGGAGCCTCAAGAACCTGTTCGGATTGTCGCCTTTCCGGAAAGTTTCTCTCAATGAACCGTTCAGGATCATCGTTTTTTCCTGAAAACGTCGTTAATTTTTTTTAGTTCTTCATTGTCAGAGCATATGTTTGCGCGCTCTGGATGTGGGACTCGGAATTATTCATTTGTTGTTGTGATTCCCATTCCTGAATACACCTTAATAACGTATTCCCGGAGTTTCTCGATTTTCTGCTCATATATATCAGTATAAAATCTGTGATATCTGCCAAATTCTTCAAATAGTTCTGCATTTATTCAGCGGACAAGAATTTTCTTCCGCATACGATCATGTTTGTGTCACTTTATCTTCCTCCCTNGTAATAGAGAATTCAATCTGACGTTCAGCATCGCTCAGCCAAAATAAAAAACAATACCCGTTACTTCATATATACTCAGCTATATGTGATTGACCTTGAGTTCCATTAAAGGGGTTACATATGAGCGTGATGTCTTAGTATTCTTCTCGTACTACCTTTGTAGAGTAGTACTGCTCAACAGGAGAAACATATAGCACCTTTAATTATGTACTTAAAAAACGTCTCGTAAGATTCATTTGTATGACTGGAAACTACCAATTCCTTCCGTTTTGGTTATATTTATTCTGAAATAAAGTGAACTCATTGAAACAAGACCTGAATAGTTTTGTTAAAACAGTCATAAGCACAAAAGCAAATGCGGATTTAGCTGTAAAACTTGTTACTAAATAGATCAAGAAACACGATGATTTTCTCTGTGATCATCATCCTGAGTTAAGGTGACNGACTTTAATACCTACAATGTTTATCTCGACTTAGATCACTGCATCAATTGAATGCCGAAAATGTTTTGACGAGACAACACCTGTGGGTTCCAGCAACACCGCACATTCTGATATGTCACTACAAAAACGGTGCGATTCAAAACACCCGAATTTGGCATTTGGAGACGTTCCAAACATGAACACTGGTGTCAACAAGCCCAACATGTATTCTCACTCGATAAATTATGCGTGATGTCGCTAAATGCACACCACATAGCACTGAACAATCATCATCCATTTCAACAGCCGTGGAATGCTTCAGTTTA